GAAATTTGATGCAAATAATTTTTCATCGAGCTTAATAATGTATCGTACTCAAAATTGAATTTAGTTTAAGGACATTTTTCATATGCTTATTCAGCTAGATCCTTTGATTTTACCATTATTAATCCCTTTTCAAGATATAATTTTTATCTAAAACATTTTTTTACTATTAGGTTCAATTTTCGATATATTTCAGTATTTTGTTTTAAATAGGATACCTTATACATTTATCCCAAACAGAACAACAAATCGTTATATAATATCAAAATGTATCAAAATAACTCCAAAATGATATCATTGAAAGTCATTTTTCAATTACTTCCAGTTCATCTTTTTGTCATTTCAGGAGACACAGGTAGTGTCTCCTGTCATGTTCAAAAAACTACTAGTTAATTTAAATTTAAAAGATTAATAATAGAATTCTTAATAAAATTATATAAACTTGTTATGGACTCTTTTTTGTTAAAAACAAATAAACAAACATAAATTAAAGGCTATAAAGAGTCAAACGCAGTTAACAATGCGAAAAAATTTTGATAATCTTACAAATTAACATTAAGATATCCCGTCGAACGTTCGGTCTGCAATTTAGACCATCTTCAGCGACAAAATAATAATAAACCAATACTCCATTTACTCCGAGTTAGAATGCAAGTAGTAGAATCAATGCTTGTTGAACGACAAAATGTTCCTGTGCACCAACTAGAGGTAAATTCATCGTAGATAATGGATATGGAGTTGTGTAATAAAATTACGAAAAATTCCATTATCTACGATGAATTTACCTCTAGTTGGTGCACAGGAACATTTTGTCGTTCAACAAGAATTGATTCTACTACTTGCATTCTAATTCGGAGTAAATGGAGTATTGGTTTATTATTATTTTGTCGCTGAAGATGGTCTAAATTGCAGACCGAAACGTTCGACGGGACATCTTAATGTTAATTTGTAAGATTATTAAAATTTTTTCGCATTGTTAACTGCGTTTGACTCTTTATACCCTTTAATTTATGTTTGTTTATTTGTTATTAATAATAGACTACACGTCTTTTATCCCGAGCCATCAAAGTCCATTTTTGAGGTGTACATAACTACTAAAATACAAAAAATTTTGAATCGCACGTAATATATCCTGAAAAACCCCGAATAATTTAAACTAAAAAAATTTTTGGTAATTATTTAAAATAGGAGAGGCAGCACCGATGACCTTGACATATGTTATCAAGGTCATGACCCTGAGTAACCTCCAACAGGTTTTAGCCGTCGCTTGTCTTTCGTTAAAAAGTTATTAACAAAAAAAGTTTCAAAATTAAGTTTTGTAGTTATTTAGAATATGGGAGGCAGCATCGATGACATTGACCATGACATATGTTGTCAGGGTCATGACCCTGAGTAACCTCCAACAGGTTTTAGCCGTTGCTCGTCCTTTGTTAAAAAGTTATTAACAATCATAGTTTTAAAATTAACGTATGCTATATATGTATGATATTAAGTACTCCATTGTACACCTTTCCTTGTTCAGGAACGTTAAACTTTCCACGCGAAGTAACTTTCACTCCTCCCCCCTGCACAGGGGCATACGACTTCTACAATTATACTGTTGCTATGATAGTACTGTCGGGGCAGACCTCTGTCGACGGTGTGGGTCCGGGGGGGGCCTTCGGCCCCCCCCTTTCACCCGCGTGCGTGCGTGCGCGCGCATCTGTGTGTGTGTTCCATTCATTATATAACGATTATGAATCTGTTACTTGATATTTTACACACACACACACAGAGGAGGTAAAAGTTACTTGTTGGTGAAGGTTGCGTTTGTTTTGATTTTTAAGTAATATTTGGTATGCGACAATATCATTACACACATTATTTGGCTGAATATATTTTCAAACGACAATATGATTATTCAGATAAGATTGATAAGTTTTTTGAAATTATGGCTTATTTCTATCCAATTAATAACATTACTGAAGAAAATAGTAATTAAGTTTATTACAAATTTCAAATAAATGTTATTTTCAAAACTTAATTTTAAAACTTTTTTTGTTAATAACTTTTTAACGAAGGACGAGCGACGGCTAAAACCTGTTGGAGGTTACTCAGGGTTATGACCTTGATAACATGTGTCAAGGTCAAGGTCATCAGTGCTGCCTCCCCTATTCTAAATAATTACCAAATTTTTAATCAGTCAAGCCGGGCATAGAAGCGGTCAAAGAGTGATGATTTTCATGAGAAATGAAATAACGTCTTTTTCTCCTTCTCTGTCCGCAATCATATGCACCTCTCTCCTGTTTTAATGCTATTGTGACTTGTTGTTCTGCTTGTGATGGATCTTCTTGTATTCTTATAATATTTTAATGGATCAACATATGTTCAATTTAAACGCATTATTTGTTTTAAAATTTCTATCATTCATTAAAAACAAAATTAATTTTTGTAAAATATTCAAACAACCTATTTTGTAATTTTTGAAATGTGTTTTCCAAGTTTTTCTGGGTATATAAGCTTTCTTTTATGAATGTCTGGATTTTCATATAACTATTAGATTTTAATAGTGTCTGTTTAGAGCTAAAACTGGCTATTTTACACTCCTTTCTTTCAATTTATATTTATACAAAATTTATATTTTTTGCCCTTGTAGAAATGTACTACTGCATGTAATATTGTTATACCCAAGATGAGCGCATACAAAAATGAAAGTTACGTTACGTAAAAAAAAAGAACACTCTTTAATAACTAAAAATTACAACAATGAATACAGACGCGTTCGCGCGCATTGATAATTCAGTGAGAACTCGCGTATATTTTAAACAATAGCCACACGTCTCCAAGGAAAGTCGCTCGTCCTCTTTTCGACATGGCATGGACGTATCACTAGCAGCACAGGCGAGGCGTAGTGTTTTGGGACACTACTACACTACAGTAATAGTATAGTAATACAATAATGTGCAGTAATAGTGTTGTAATCCAGGAAGTAGTGCCTCAAAATACTACTACGGAGTAGTGCTCACAATCGCAGTAGTAATTTTCTACAAGGGCATGATTAAAATGTAAATCGTTACATCTTCGGGGAGAATATCAGTTGCAAATAAATACATATCAATGTTTCATATTTTTATTATCAAATGAATATTTTATACGGCTATAGAAATAATACAATAATTCTTTATATAACAAATGTTTATAGAAATAATAAATAAAGTTTTACTGAACAGGTGTTATCGGCATGCGGACCTATTAGTGTCACGTTCTTCACGATCGTTGTTTTCTTTGGATCATTTTACTTGTTAAACTTGATGCTGGCTGTCGTGGCGTTGAGTTATGAGGAAGAAGCCGAGATTACAAATGAGGTATGTGTCCCATTTCAACTTTTGACATACATCCATGTTTTACTTTAACCCTTCGAGGTTGATGACGGCTGGTTTGTTGGATCTATTCAATTCTTTATACTAAATCTGCAAATTTAAATTATTATTGTCATTAGAGTAAAAGTATTCACGCACACGCGCGCGCGCATGCATGCACACATCTTCTTTTTTATATAAATAATGTCCTTTAAATTAATAAATACCTTTTAGTTAACATAAATTGAATGGATTTTACAGACCCGATGTCAATAATTATGTTACAGATTTTAGTCAGCTTCGGTAGGTTAAAGTTGCATCTCAAAATACAATATTAATTCAAATACATGACTCGAAAGAGTTATGCTGACACTTTACAACAATATATTATAAATAATAATTTATATAACAAATATTAATACATTTGTTTGTTTTATTAATTACTTTTATTTAGCATTTTATGATGTTATCTACATTTAGTCGAGTATTTTGAATGCAGGAACGAAGGAAAGATTTGACGGATCATCGCGAAGACTCTACGTTTAGTTTCGATCCATCGAAAATCAACATCAAGACATTGACGAAAAATAAACAAAAAAGAATTGACGCCCGTAAAGGAGTTTTGCTCAGCAGTTATACAAGAAAAAAAACGCGTAGAAGAAAGCGCGGGAGGAGCAGCATCGGACAGGAGAAAAACGGTGGTGCATGCAGCAGGTTTCTATATCCGTATATAAGATTTTTTATGGTTCAATTTGTCACCAACATTATTATTAAACATTCGTGTTATATTTTTAAGTTACTAAATAGAGCTTTTCATGAAGCTGGTTTAACTAAAGAACCCAATGAAAACGACTGAGTCAAAGTGATGTCAATATGACATCAGAACTGTCGTTTGCCTTCATGGTATCAAAGAAATAGTTCGATATAACGAAAAATTAACATCATATAGGATGTCTTAAGTAAGGAAATATAGAAGAAGGTGAAAACCATTGTTTATTATAGATGATAATTCTAGTATTGTGTGAGAAATTCAATCAATGTCACATTGATGTCAAAATGATAACATTATGATGAAACGATTATTTCTACATATTTCAATATATTTCTAAATATGTTGGATATTATCTATATAACAGATATACTTTTATTTAATTTGTTTAAAGTAGAGACCCTCTAACAGAGACTGGCCATCAGGGTGCCACTTTTGATTGGTCCGCCATTTCCTAGCGATTCCCGCTCGTATTCTTTACTTGGAATGTAAATTCCAACGACGAGCATGTTTGAGAAGTCAGATTTTTGGAGAAGCTGTCACGGCGGACGAACGTGTTTTTCTCCTACGTTCAGCTTCGTGTTCTGTGTTCTTAGAATAAACTTCTTATTTCTAATTCTGTGTTGTTTATTCCGGAGATACGGGAGTGCGCGTACGCGGCGCGAGCGAGTTCCGCAGAACGGTCGCGCGAGCGTAACATTTTGGGGGCTCGTCCGGTTCGTTAAGTGATGATCCGGTCACCTATTGTCACAAGAAGAAGAGCGCAATTGGAGGAATCAATGAAGTTGTTAGCTGATCAGAGCGCAACGGAACGGACGTCAGAGGTGACAGTACCACGGGCTGCCTTGCAGGAACCGTCGCCCATGACGTTGGCCCTTCAAGCCGTTTTATGAGAGATGCGGCTCCGAGAGGAGCAACGGAAAATGAGAGCCGAGCACGCGGAGACGACGCGACTGCGTGATGCTGAGTTGCTGCGACTTCGAGAGGAGCTGCGTAGCACATCACAGATAAGTCCTTCCCATAAGGTAAATTTCCCAGTTTGTGACCATATAAGAAAATCGCATTAGTTAATACGAATGAAAAATACTCTAGAGTGATTAAAATCAGGAATCAATTATACCGAACTCAAGATTAATCATTTTTGTATCGAAAAACATGCTTTACTGGGGTTGTAAACATAATCTAATAAATATAAAAGAATAAATAGCAAACTATGTAAATGTAGACATTAGTGACCGCTTGATTTTAATTTTGCCCTATTTGTGACTCCACGGTTAGTGACTGGTGCATTGGATCGAATGTATCACCATGTATCACTTAGTGACCGACGCACATGATGCAATACACACGATATCCTACTAAGTGACCTAGCCAAAAGTGATAGCATTGTCACCAAAATTTTCCTTCGAGCATACATCGAATCTTTCCGTTTATTCGTCCAAAATGTAACTCATACGTGTTTAGAAACATATGGAGATGAGTATTAATTGTTACCTTTTTGAAAAAAGCAGCGAAATTTAATGTTATAGCTAGTTCTCTTGAGACAATCACAGATAGAAACATGCATATTTTATTGAACCGATTTGTCATATTCACTTATATACTCAAAATTATCAACCTTTTTCAGAATTCACATATAGTACAATATTTATTGACTTGTTCACTAAAACTTTATCACAAAAACTGTTTATGAACGTTTGTCTACGACAATATGACACAGCTATGACTTTGCCGTGACAAACGCCATCTCTACCAACGTGGCGACAACAACGTGCTCGATCTGCACTTAATGACGAAAATGTGAAATAAGGGCACCTTATTTCACATTTTCATGAGTTATCTGTTAACCAAATATCACTACATCACATATCAAAACGATGGATTATTAATTGAAAAACGTAATAAATATTGTTTTCAGAGATAAATTACTTGAAACTTCTGATTAATTACATAAAAGTCTTAGAGTGGTTACAAACAGGGTCATGGTCACAAACTGGGACATTTACCTTAATAGAAATGTTACCGGAAACGCGGAGTTTGGGCGCGACGTTGTGCGATCTGAGGGCGAAGGGAGTCGCGAGTATACGCGCGAGCGCGGTTCTCCTATCACGCGTCGGGATGTTTCGCGGCTTTCGTCGAACGGTGAGAATGAAGCGTGTGCGCGTGAACGTGCGGAGCCGTGGGTCCCATTGCGCGAGGAAGTGAATATTAAATTGAAACAGGACGTTTTTGACGGGAGTGCTCCTTTGCGAGAATTTTTCGCGCAATTTGATTTGATTGCTTATGCAAATCGTTGGGAAGAAAAAACGAAAACTACCGTTTTGGTATCGTGTTTGAGAGGGAAAGCTCGTGCGGTACTAGAAAGCGTGCAAAATTTAGAAAATTTAAATTACGGGGAATTAAAAGCAAAATTAGAATTACGTTTTGGAGAAGCTTATTCGTTGCAAAATTGTTATACATTATTTACAAATAGAAAACAAACTTTTGGAGAGACTTTAGCTTCTTTTGGTTCTGTTTAAAGTTAAGGACGCTTGCCCGGTGATAAATTTATCCTCACGGTCGGTAACTCAACGACCGCCATGAGCACTTATTAATGTGATACGCGAGAAGGCCGAGCGAGGCGCTGAATGCTTCTTTGTCGCTTGCGGTGTTTCTTCTTCTTCGCGAAACGGTCGTTGTTCTTCTTCGTTCGCCATTTTTAGTAGCCGGTCGACCGTTTCGTTGCTTGTGTATTTTTATCAAGAAAACTAGTTACGCGTTAACGCTGATTGATTAATAATCGTGTGGAGCTAAGAGCTCATGTGAGGCTAGTAGCCGATGTGATTATCAAGTGAGGCTGTGAGCCTGGTCAAGCATATTTGACATATACGTTCTATGGAACGTTTTCGAAGATCAAGGAAGTGTATGAGATTTACACAAAGAAGGCAGCCATTGATTCCACATTTGATGGGAAGCAAGTTGATAATCTCCAGGTACCTGAGAGTGAGAGATATGAAAAAAGGAGAGAGAAAGCATATAAGATTTAGTTGAAGGATCATTCCTTCAAATCACGATTAAGGTTGGCGGCTTAAAGCCGAGCTTACAATCCACATCAGTTTTTGTGGATACACATGCGGCTCGACGCCGATTCCATTTGCTAACCGATTCGTAAGTACTTTTATTTTCAGTTATTCTTCTGTCTTGCGTCTGTCAGCGTGCTGCCTTGCCGTTCGTCAGAGGGAGGTTACTTTTAGTTTGCGGAATCGGGAGCGATGTCAACCCTTCTTTCTATTTTTTATTATAGTCTAAAAAATTAATTCAAGTTAAATTCCTTATTCGTTTATGTGATTCTTATAGACATATTTAGTACGAACTTTAATTCGTTTGTTTATCAATTTAAATTTCATTTATTACTCAATTTTATGTAAGTTCATTTATCATCCTTATCTTATAGTTATTTATTCACATGGATTAAAATTTTAAAACCTTAACGTTGTTACTTTGTATATCGCTTTCCTTGATTCTGTTGATTGACAAAAACCTAGGTTAGTTATCGAACATTTTGGTCCTTCGAGCCGGATCTTTCTGACGGACGGCGCCACTGGCAGAGCGAGTGTAGGAAACGATGAGAGTAAGTCATGTTGAAAGTCATATTGAGCAGCAGCTCGCTCTTTCCTGTTTAATTGTCAATTCTTATGAAAATCTGATAAAGTGTGGCTTAGAGAATGTGAATTCTCAGAGAATTAATTTACGCCTTGCGGCTCTAAAAGAGAATTGGGATAGATTTCTCATAAATCATGAAGCCATTTTGTTGTCAATTAAACAATTGGAGGAGGAGGATGAGTTTATTATTCGAAATAGTTTGTATTTCACAGATAATTATTTTTCGAGTACTAACGAGAGTTACTTAGAGTCAGCGGAGCGTATGAATTCTCTTGTTGAATCACGCTCTGATCAGAGTAGCATTCCAGGGAGAACCTCCGTCACGACGTCTTCTCAAGGGTTAACCACGTCGACGGCCTCATCGAGTCTCCCTGCCGTATATCATCATTCAAGGCTTCCTCGGTTACAGTTACCGAAATTTAACGGCACGCCTTCAGATTGGTTGCAATTTAAAGATCTCTTTTGTTCTTTAGTTATCGATAATCCAACATTGTCGGCTGTGGAGAAACTGCAGTATTTAAAGACCAGTTTGACCGGTTCTGCTAGTTACATGCTGACGAATACCGCACTTACTGCAGATAATTTCTCTAAAGCCTGGAACGCTCTAATTTCTTTTTACGAGAATAAAAGACTCCTTGTTAATGCTACCCTCAGTTCTCTTTTTAGTCTTAAACGCATGACTAAAGAATCTGCTGCTGAGCTTGAGAGATTATACACGACTGTAACTCAGATTTACACAACTTTTGAAACTCTCGGACGACCTATTGATTCGTGGGATGATATCTTAATTTTTACAGTTACTCAACGACTAGATCCTGAATCTGTCAAAGTATGGGAGCAAACTATCGGTTCATCTAAAGAGCTTCCTACTTGGAATCAATTCTTGGAATTCTTTATAACACGACTGGTTACCTTACAAAATTATGAAAAATCGAGATCAGGTAAGCCCTTCCAATCCATTCAAAATTCTCAAAGGCTTCATTTTCAGGGAAAAGTTAAAGATAACGATTCCAAAGCGTGTCCCTTCTGTGAGGAAGCACATTGGCCATACAATTGCCCTCTCTACAAAAACAAGCCATTATCCCAACGATTCGCACTTGTTAAACGAATGCGTCTATGTTATAACTGTTTCGGACCACATCGAGCCTTGCAATGCCGGATGTCGGTCCATTGTAAAAAATGTGCTGGGAAGCATCATGTCTCCCTCCACCGTGGAGACTTTGAAGGTGCGAAGGCTACAGTTGCTTCTTCCAACCCATCTGAAACTAACAAAACAGAGAATTCGACCGTAAGTAAAGACAAAAAGAACCCTCTTCAGATCTTTCATTCTATTGAACGAAATAAGATTATTAATCTTATAAGCATACCGTCTTGCTAGCAACTGCTCTTGTTTCTGTTCTCTCTCCCAACGGACATAGTTGTCAAGCTCGTGCTCTCATCGATCAAGGATCAGAGATATCATTAATTACTGAACGGTTAGCACAACAATTACATTTATCTCGAGTCAAATCAAATATCTCCCTAATCGGAGTCGGTGGAAAAAAGTGCAACAATTCCCGAGGAATTGTTTCTTTGCAATTAAAGCCTCATTTCGAATCATCGTTCGAATGTGTTGTAACCGCTCATGTTTTGCCACGATTAACTACTTCGTTACCTCCTGCTTCTCTCAAGGCTGGCACCTGGTCACATTTAAAAAACTTACAAGTAGCAGATCCCAACTATCTTCAGTCTCGTCAAATTGATCTCTTACTCGGCGCCGAAGTCTATTGTCAGATTCTTCAAGAAGGAATCGTGAAAGGACCTATCGGGTCTCCTATGGCTCAATTTACTGAGCTAGGATGGATAATCTCAGGTCCCACTCACTCCGGAACCTCTCCTAATAGTTCTTTTAGTTTTCACATATCCATTGATGAAGACCTCTACCGTTTAGTGCACAAGTTTTGGGAGATCGATGAAGTACCTACAACTAACACCATTCTTTCTGTCGACGATCAAGCATGCGAAGATCATTTCTTGTCCACCCATTCTCGCACTCGAGATGGAAGGTATATTGTTAGATTACCTTTCAAGAAGTCAGTTGATAACCTCGGCAATTCTCGGCAAAGGGCCTCTCGGATTATGTTGAGACTTTCTCATAAATTTTCGTTAGATTCTACTTACGCAAAGCAGTATGCGGAGTTCCTGACCGAGTACGAACAGCTGGATCACATGAGGTTGGTCCCTCTTGATTTACCGGAACCTCCGTTTGTATACTATTTGCCGCATCACGGAGTAAGGAGAGAGCAAAGCCTCACCACTAAGCTTCGTGTTGTATTTAACGGATCCAGCGCTTCGTCCTCGGGGTATTCCCTAAATGACTTGTTGCATACGGGAGCTAAGCTGCAAATTGATTTGTTCGACGTGCTTATTTGGTTCCGTCAATTTCATTATGTATTTTCCTCAGATATGGAAAAAATGTACCGCCAGATAGGTGTTCATTCCGACGATTGGAACTTTCAACGAATTCTTTGGTGCGATGAATCACACAATTTAAAAGCATATCAACTAACGACAGTTACTTATGGCCTAGCTTGTGCCCCTTTTCTCGCGTTACGCACCATCCAGCAGTTGTTACACGATGAAGGTTCCAAGTACCCTATGGCGGTTTCAAGTCTACAAAAAGGACGGTATGTGGACGATCTGTTTGGCGGAGCAGATAGCATAGAACAAGCGCAAGAAGTGGTCTCTCAATTAAATCAACTGTGCATGGCGGGCGGATTTAAACTTAAAAAATGGTCCTTTAACCATTCGGAAATTCTTGTCTCGATTCCCAAGGACGAGCAGATCTCCTGTTTAACCATAGGGCTAGACAATGATACGATTATTCATACTCTTGGGTTGCAATGGCTACCATCTAGCGATATGTTTCAATTCACGTTTAACTATGAAACTACCGCTGAAGTTACCAAACGCAATGCCCTCTCGACAATTGCCAGGATCTTCGACCCTTTAGGACTTCTATCACCAATCATCATAGTCGCCAAAATCTTTATTCAGGAATTATGGTCACTAAAGATAGGTTGGGATGAACCCTTACCTCCCCATATAGCAGATAAATGGCATAAGTTTTTAGACGCTCTTCATGAAATACCTAAGATTGCTATCCCTCGGTGGATAGGGTTTTCCAGACACAGCCTAGTCGAAGTCCATGGCTTCTCAGACGCCTCCCAAAAGGCCATGGCTGCTGTCGTTTATTTCAGGGTCACTAACTCAGTAGGGCATACCACTGTTTATTTCGTGGCATCCAAGACTAAAGTAGCTCCTTTAAAACGAATCACCATTCCGAAGCTAGAATTATGTGGAGCCGTATTACTCACTAAGTTAGTCTTCCACATTTTGTCTATACTTGAACTCGGAAATTCACCTGTTATTCTTTGGACTGATTCAGCAATCACTCACGTTTGGTTGAACAACCATCCATCGAGATGGAAAGAATTTGTGCGTAATAGAGTCAGTTACATTCAAGAGACCTTACCTCAAGCTGAGTTGAGATTTGTCCCCGGCCATCACAATCCATCAGATATCGCCACCAGAGGTGCTACGCCCTCTCAACTGTCAAATCACTCTGAATGATGGAATGGGCCTCTATGGTTATCCCAAGATAAATCCTCATGGCCACAGGTTATTACGCCAAAATGTCCTAGTGACAATTTCGAAGAACAAACTTCCGTTGTGCACTTAGTTACCACTACTAAAACCAATGAGTGGAGTCTTATCTCTCGATACTCTAATTTAAATAAGCTCTACCGTGTTACTGCTCTTTGTCAAAGAGCAGTTAGTAGATTTCGTGGCATTACGCCTACTATTTATTCACCTTCTCTAACAACAGCTGAATTGAATAAAGCAAAGGTGTTTTGGGTGCATGTCACTCAGCGATTGTTCTTTCCCGAAGAACTAAAATCTCTCTCTAAAGGACTGCCGATGTCTCGTTCAAGTCCTCTTCTTCGTCTTACCCCATTTCTCGATGCGTCCGGCCTACTACGAGTGGGCGGTCGTCTACAGAACGCTCTCTTGAGCGAAAAAGAAAAACACCCTATGATTTTACCTCGAAAATCAACATTAACTCTCCTTATTATAGCGGATGCCCATCAGCGGACATTACACGGAGGTAAACTCAAGTTACCTTAGCAACTATTCGCACTGAGTATTGGATAGTTGGTGGGCGGATCCCTGTTCGATCTTGGATTTTGAAATGCGTTAGATGTACTCGCTATCGTCGGCAGCGAGCTCAGCAATTGATGGGTCAACTTCCCTCTGAGCGCATTACTCCGTCTCGCCCTTTTACTCACACCGGTATTGACTACGCAGGCCCTTTTCTGACAAAGACTTGGCGAGGAAAAAATTCACGCACGTATAAGTCCTATGTTGCTTTATTTGTGTGCTTCGCAACGTCAGCTGTTCACTTGGAATTAGTCACTGACTATTCCGCTGATGCCTTTATAGCAGCATATAAAAGATTTGTATCCAGACGCGGAATTTGTACCACTTTAACCAGTGACTGCGGCACCACGCTCAAAGGAGCAGATTCTGAATTACAACGGCTTTTTTCGCAAGCTTGTCAAGAGTCATTCAAGCTAGCTATTCTGTTAGCTAATAATGGTACCCAATGGCACTTCAATCCCCCGTCCGCACCTCACTTTGGAGGCAAATGGGAAGCAGGGGTTAAGTCCATGAAATATCATCTCGTACGTGTAATCGGCAATGCCACTTTTACATACGAAGAGATGACCACTCTCTTAACTCAAATTGAGGCTGTTATGAATTCACGGCCATTGTGTCCGTTAACTGAAGATCCGGACGATCTCAATGTTTTAACATCCGGCCATTTCCTCATGGGATGTGCTCCACTGACTGTCCCAGAACCCTCTCTTGAGTTGGTCAAGACTGCTAGGCTGTCGCGATGGCAGCTTATTCAAAAGACTTTTGAATCATTTTGGACTAGATGGTCTCAAGAATGCCTACAGAGGTATAATGCTTGTTATAAATGGAATCGAGTCACCCCTTCTCTCCAAGTGGGAACTATCGCTCTCGTCATCGATGAGCGTTACCCACCTGCTAAATGGCCTTTGGGGCGAATCATTGCTACTCATCCAGGGCAGGACGGTCTCACAAGAGTAGTCACTATCAAAACTCAAACGTCAATCTTTAAACGGCCAGTTGTTAAGCTCTGTCCGTTGCCTATGATACAGGATTCCCCTGCAAATTGTTCATTACTCGTAGTTAATGAAGGCGGGCGGAATGTTTAAAGTTAAGGACGCTTGCCCGGTGATAAATTTATCCTCACGGTCGGTAACTCAACGACCGCCATGAGCACTTATTAATGTGATACGCGAGAAGGCCGAGCGAGGCGCTGAATGCTTCTTTGTCGCTTGCGGTGTTTCTTCTTCTTCGCGAAACGGTCGTTGTTCTTCTTCGTTCGCCATTTTTAGTAGCCGGTCGACCGTTTCGTTGCTTGTGTATTTTTATCAAGAAAACTAGTTACGCGTTAACGCTGATTGATTAATAATCGTGTGGAGCTAAGAGCTCATGTGAGGCTAGTAGCCGATGTGATTATCAAGTGAGGCTGTGAGCCTGGTCAAGCATATTTGACATATACGTTCTATGGAACGTTTTCGAAGATCAAGGAAGTGTATGAGATTTACACAAAGAAGGCAGCCATTGATTCCACATTTGATGGGAAGCAAGTTGATAATCTCCAGGTACCTGAGAGTGAGAGATATGAAAAAAGGAGAGAGAAAGCATATAAGATTTAGTTGAAGGATCATTCCTTCAAATCACGATTAAGGTTGGCGGCTTAAAGCCGAGCTTACAATCCACATCAGTTTTTGTGGATACACATGCGGCTCGACGCCGATTCCATTTGCTAACCGATTCGTAAGTACTTTTATTTTCAGTTATTCTTCTGTCTTGCGTCTGTCAGCGTGCTGCCTTGCCGTTCGTCAGAGGGAGGTTACTTTTAGTTTGCGGAATCGGGAGCGATGTCAACCCTTCTTTCTATTTTTTATTATAGTCTAAAAAATTAATTCAAGTTAAATTCCTTATTCGTTTATGTGATTCTTATAGACATATTTAGTACGAACTTTAATTCGTTTGTTTATCAATTTAAATTTCATTTATTACTCAATTTTATGTAAGTTCATTTATCATCCTTATCTTATAGTTATTTATTCACATGGATTAAAATTTTAAAACCTTAACGTTGTTACTTTGTATATCGCTTTCCTTGATTCTGTTGATTGACAAAAACCTAGGTTAGTTATCGAACAGGTTCGGATATTGAGAGACTTTCGCAATTGGCTTACTGAGTGCACCGATTTAGTGCGCGATAAGATCGCGTGTGCACAATTTATTTCTGCGTTGTCAGACGGTTTTGTAAAAAGGACTTTACAATTAGAAGGGATAATTTCGCTAAGAATTGCTATAGAGAGAGGCAAAAGCTGTAAGTCTGATTCAAGGGAATAGTTTTGATCGGAAAAGAAGTAATAACTTTGTTAACGGAAAAAAAGAAAGTATGGAATGAGGATGAAAAAAAAGAGGAAAACAACGAAGAAAAATCGGAGAAAGAAGTTTCGTACGGTAAATTCTGGAAAAACAAAAATCGCGCGAAAGTCAATATTAAAAGAGAATGCTGGGAATTCGGGAAAGAGGGTCATTTTCGCTCTAAATGTCCTAGCAGAACAATAACGGAAAACGGGGAATAGTTGAGCTTGGCGGGGCAGGCTTGACTGGAGGGAAAAATACCCCGAATTATAATTGTTCTTTTATCAATGAATGTTCTTTTAATGTTGTCGATAACAGTTGTGTTAATGATTTGATTAATAATCATTCTTCCAGATTTGATATGATTAAAAATAAAGATAAATGTTCCTCTACCAATTGTTGTTTATTGACTGATAATTTGTATAATAATTTGTGTCATAATTATTATTCTTTCATAAAAAGTGAAAATATGTGTATTTTAAGAGAATTTTGTTATAAAGAGGAGGCAAATGATAAATGTTGTTTTTTTAAGATCGATACGGGTTCCGATATTTCTATCATTAACAGTAATTTAGTTAGTTCGGATAAATCGAAAATCAAAATAGACGATTGTATTCTTAAATATCCCACGGGGGAACACGTTGTAATTAAGTATAAAACCTTTGTGAAAGTTCGACTTGGGAAACTCTGTGTGGAGATTCCTATGTTTATTGCAGAAATAAACGATGACTGTATTTTAGGCGTTGATTTTCTTAAACTGTTTAATTTACAAAATGCTTTTGATTCTATTTTTCTTGAGCAAACCTCTGATACTAGTTCTATTTTAAAATGCTCTCGTGTGGAGAGTGCTATGGTTATTGGAATCCCATTGAATTTAGCGCCATTTTTTGAAAGTGGCTCACAATATTTGAAAGAATATGAAAAGGAGAATTTTGCTAGTTTTCTGAACAAATTTTCCGAAGTATTTTCTGATGATGTTATTGCGGGGAATTGTAAACTTGGGGAGCATGTAATTAATGTGAAAGATTCTTTTCCCATTAAGCAGGCACCTAGACGCATTCCTCTGCAAATGAGAAAGGAATTGAGTAATATTATTATGGATATGGAAAAACAAGGAGTTATTGAAGAATCTTCGAGTCCTTGGATTTCTCCGGTTGTTTTAGTCAAAAAGAAAGATGGTTCAATTAGATTCTGTGTGGATTATCGGAAATTAAACGCTGTTACAATCAAAGACTTACCCTTTGCCAAGGATTGATGATATTTTTGACTGTTTGTCAGGTAATATTTGGTTTTCTACTTTAGATCTTAAGAGTGGTTACTGGCAAATAAAAATTCGTTCAGAAGACAGGGAGAAAACGGCTTTTTCAGTTGGAAATGGTTAGTAGCAATTCAAAGTGATGCTTGTCGGTCTATGTAATGCCCCTGTTACGTTTGAGCGTGTAATGGAACAGATTTTGAAGGATTTTCTTTTCAAAATCTGTTTGGTTTATCTTAATGATGTAATTATTTTTGGAAGAAGTTTTGAAGAGATGTTATCAAATTTGAAGAAAATTTTTCTTCGTTTAAAGGAGGTGAACCTTAAAGTAAACCCAAAGAAATGTATTTTCTTCAGTAAAGAAATAAAATACTTGGGTCATTTAATATCAGCGGAGGGCATTACTACGGATCCAGAAAAAATAAGCGCTGTAAAGGATTGGCCAATTCCACATGTGCGGGCATGTGCCTCTATGCGCTATGTGTAGCGCTATTTTCTCTTTTGAAAGCCTTGTGGCTCAAGTATTAATTGGCTATGCTTGATGCAGCGTATAATAATGCTCGAAGGACCAGTGTTGGCAAGAAGCAACACGAAAACATAGTTGATAATGATACTTATTTATTCTTATTAAACTCATGCATGTGCATGCTTGACAAGCGTAGAACACAGAAGGTGAACTAGTGCAAACTTAAACGACTATATAATAAGCGTAAAGAAAAATCATGCTGCTGCATGCTTGGACGAAAACGAACTAGGAAGAAGAAGACGGAAGTGGCGAACGAACAGATACGGAAGCGAACGAACGCAAACGAACGCAGAAACGAACGCTGATAAGCGA